TCCAACCACTCGAAGCGCTTTTACACTACGTGCCACATTCACCCTTTCACACACATTCACACACTGATGCACGGCATCGGGAGCAATTTGGGGTTCAGTATCTTGCTCAAGGATACTTCGACATGTAGCAGGAGGAGCCGGGGATCGAACCAACAACCTTCCGATTAGGGGACGACCCGCACTGTTTTTTTTATGTGGAAAAAAAGGTCTCAGCTCTTTGCTGCATGTCATCCCCTCTTCTGTGATAGAGCAGATTTATGGCTGTATTAACCTTAATAAGCAATGTTCCCACTTTAGAATTGGTATGCCCCCAAACATAGTTAACTGTTTAATAAGTGCAATTAACTGTTAATAAATGCATTGTAATGTATGCAGAAATCCTAATAACTCAACAGCCAAAGCTTAGTAAAGTCAATAAATGTATTTATACAAACAAGTATAAGAAACTCATCTTAACATTATTAAGTTGTTAATACTTTATACACTGTTAACAAGTTTCCTTGCTTGCTTTTTCTGCTTAATATAATTTTATCAACATATGTGATAAGCACAGCTTTGCTTGTTAGTGTCTGCCTCTATTGATATTGATCAGCTTAGTTTACTGATCAGGATGGATGGATGGATGGATGCAATCAGTCAAACTGATTGTGGTATTTTAAGAATGCCCTCTGCTGGATCAAAAGGCAAACTCCTTCAAATGGCCTGTTGAGCTTAGAGTTCATTTTGAATCTGAACACATGATTACAGTTTGAATATATTTTTTTCCCCCCATTTTCGGATAAAGGAAATTCTGAATAAAAAGTCACAGCCCTAAATAGCCCTATATTTATATTCAAGATTTGTGCAAGAAATCAGCAGATCCAATGCTTTACTTAATGTAATTCACATTGCAGAGACTGCTGTCTCCTTAATAACTGTAAAGATATTAATCAGTAGTTAAATGGCTAGGCTGCACAAACAAAAGTACAGGAGCAAACTACAGTATCTGAGCACCATGGAACAACACTAATGGTGATCAGACAAAATCATATGCCCCTACTGCAGAGAAAAAGGAACTACATAAACATATTGTGGGATTACTAAATGCCTCAGTCTTATTCCACCTTTTTTTTAGCCTTACTCTGAAGCTACAGCTGCAAATCTGTACTTCATAGGATACAAATAAATACTTAATAGATTAATTGAGACTGAGACCAACCCACTGGATCGGATAATGGTAACACTAATGGAAGTAAACAAAGTATAATAAATTACTAACTGAAGTAAGTTTATGTGAGAAGTACCTCATCTTCTTCTTTTAGCTACGGTGAGGTTATTCTAGAGGGAGGGGACATGATAGGAAAAGGCCCTGGAGCCAACTGAAGTCTTTTTAACTCTGGGGACAGTATTCTGAGAGTGGAGAGGGATGGAATATAGTATGGCATATATTATATATAAGGAGTTTAGTTGTGTTAATGTAGTGTTAATTTTATTTCTAGTGCCACTTTATATTAACTGGTGCAGTTAGTGCTGCTTATTTGATGGTCACAGATATAAATACCCATATAATCACATCCACCATAAACATTCACATATGAACCAAAGGCTCTGTATACATTTGCAGTTTTGATGTCAAGCCTCCCAGAAGACCACTTTTCCACATACTCCACCTGTCTTCACATCACTGTGCAGACCTCATTCTACTGCATGGCATTTGTCCTCTCTGTTCATTGGTGCTCTTTCAGTATGACAGGTTACAGCCTATGAATTTCAATGGTTTAATAATCTATACTTATAATGATGACTGTATCCTCTCGCCCTTTGCCACTACGTACTCCCAGTGATATACAATGAGAAATTAGTTTCATTCTGAAATAACCTTTGCAGCATGTAAAAAAAGAAAGCTATGATACATTTGTGAGCAGTTAAATTAGATTCCTGTTGGACAATTACAGACCATATATGTACAGAGCTGCTAAAAAATGTGTGAACCATGAGTGGACTGATGGAGTTTACATATGTTTTAGATTAATGTGCTGTTACTAATCTCTTCCTAGGGTCCTCTCAGATGTATTTTCCTCTCGGCTAGGCCTGTGCGATAGGGCCAAAACATCATATTGCAATTATTTTGACAGATATTGCTGTTGTGATATGATTCATGATTAGTGTGAATAATAATTTTTGCATCTCAATTTTCATTTTCACTGAAATAAACTATTATATCATGAAGTGACATTTGTTGGGGTCTTTATTAAGCAAATCTTACATCTGGAATTTTGTAGGCCAGGGCATCTCTGCAGGACTACAGTACTTCATTATAATGCTGTTTGTTACATGTTACCTACAGTCTGCACAGTCACTCCTTTTCTCTATTTCTGGATATTGTCAAAATAAATGTTTCACTAATATGTAAAATTTAAATATCCCTAAGATCTCCATGCACATAGGGTACCCTCATCAGTAACTGGAAGCCACTGCCTAATGTCATCAACAGTGTTTGGCAGTAATGCATCATAATAGTATCAGTAATAATATTATTTTATCCAGTAACTGTTAGTGTTACTAATTGCTAATACATTTCAGTAACAACATTATATTATTTTTTATAAAGGATACAATTAACAATTTTGTGGGAAGTAGCAGAAAAGTAACAAAAAAAACACAACGAATTACTGTTGGCGGAACGTAATAATATTTCTTTTGAAAAGAGTAATAAGTAATAAATTACATTTTCTGAGTAACGAGGCCAATAGTGGTCGTCACACTTGTCACTGCATATATAGACTATATATGCATAAAGTTCTGGAAACAAACTCTTTATATGAAATGTTTGCAAAGTCAAACTGTCCTTTGTACTTTATGGACTTGCAGAATACTACTTTCTATGTCTGTAAAATTTTTATGCCTGATACTTGAGACAAAGTGGTCATGCTTTAAAGTATCCGTAATTTGTGATATCAGGCACAATCTCACTGAGGACAACCGGATGTTTCTGTGACATCAAGACTCTGTGTCTCCAACTGTCATCTGCAGAACATCTGGTAGAGGTTTTAAAAAGTGATTTTGTTCCTTTGGAGTATCACATGCCTTGACTGTGCTGTGGATTAAACTGCACTTCTGTTGTTATGAATTGTTTCATTGATTATCTTCATTGATTCTTTTTGTCTTTTATCCCTCTCTCTGCCCTGACCTCACCCACGCTTTGATGTGACCAAAGAAAAGTCAGAGCTGGTACAATGTAAGTGCACTGCTTTCATACTGTCTACTGTCTTGTGTTTTTATACCTCAATATGATTTACCTATTGTCTCTAAAAACAGGTTCTGATGCTCATGTTAAATCAAAAATGGCTTTTTTTGTTTGTTGGTTTTGTTTTTCATAAGTTTGTTTTTCACCAACGTTTTATTTTAGCCACAATACAGCCATGCCATAATGACAAAGACAATAAACAATATGTTATTTTGAATGAAATAAATGTTTGCTTTATGCATTACATTTGAACAACATTACATCTTTACTATTGTGACTTTAAAACTTTAGAGTGATTCCCAACTTTTTTCCTAAAGGGACCCCTTTTCTATTATTTAGTAAATGGACCAAGTGATTTATTTTATGGATATTTCATATTATATTCCAAACTGTACAATGAACCCAAACAGTGTGTTTGTGTAAAACAAGTGATTTGGATGATTTTTTAGTAGATTATTTGCTGTGAAATGAAGAAGTGAATCTTAATTTGTGTTCATATTTGTGCACAGTACATAGTTCCTTGTGTGTGTAATTGTGTGTGGGTGGACATTTCCTCAGGCTTCCATTCATCCCCTGTATCATAGTTCACCCAGCTTGTGTCTAGATTCAGCACAAAAGTGTGAGAACTGACAGGCAGAGACACTGTCGAGCTGAGCTTCAAACTGCAGCTGAGTGTGTCTCTGTCTCTGAGAGCAGAGCAGGATGTGGGACATGTTTGGTCTTTTTTATGAATGTTCCCTTTTCCCCCCTCTCCTTTAACCGTAAGTCCCATTTTCCTGTCAACATTCAAATGATGCTCTTATTGTAGTGACCTACAGTGTAGTGAGGTGCAGGGTCAGAGATGATACATATGCCCCTTAACTTAAAAGGTTTTTGTGAGTGTTCAGAGGTAACTAATTGCGCCACTGGATGCCCCTGATTCACATTAAGTAGCCTGGACCTCAACTTTATGCAAATGAGGAGATTCTTCTGCTAGCCTAGCTTGTATTATGTATTTAAAAAAATTAAGTCTTAAATCTTGTCCATTCGTTTTTCACCTGATAGGATTTTATTACAAAACTGTAATACAGACTGTAAGTCACATAGCCAGCAGTGCGAACTGTACTCTTGGTATGACACCCACAACCACAAATATGATCCCAAAAATGATAAAGTGAGATAGAAAAGCTGGAGCTGGAGTAAAATGGCTGATAGAGAGAAAAAGAGAGGAAAGTGTGACTGAAAAGATTGACAGAGAAAGAAAAGGGGAGTGGAGAGTTGACTTGTTTACATCAGAAGTGCACACCCACACCCACACCCACACACACGCTTGTGGGAAAAGCTACGATAACTGGGAAGTGTCTTTCTCAGACACACACACAGAACAAGTGAACGCGTCAGCATTCATGGGTGTTTCTGCAACACCTTCCAGCAGTGAAATTTTGGATTTAAGTTAAAAAAATTCAAATGATCCTTGATAAATATATACACAGTGTTGTTACGCATCTTGACATAACAAAATGTGTCAATAATGGGATCAAATATATGAAGCATATCCTGGATATAAATGTGTCAAATGTTGTCCCACAACTGTTGCCCCAAAATAAGAATTCAATCACTGTATTTGTATAATTAAAAATGCAAAACAAACAACAAAAAAAATACTAGTAAAGCACAGTCAAAGGGACCATGCAATATTAAAAGTAGAAATTGTGTGTTGTGAAATACATTTTAAAAATGTTACTTTATCATGTATTTCTAAAAGTCAAAACTCCAATATTAAAACACTTTAAATCCCCAAAACACTTTTCCCTTGTATTTGTTGTGTTGTCGTCAAAGATTCACAGGGGATCACAAAGGTCTTCCTAATCTTAACGGTTATAAGAACATTTAAAAAATATAGGCCTTTATCTCAGTATATCATTAAATTCTGTAAAGAAAACTAAATCAAATTGTTAAAGATTATGTAAAATGAGCGATCACTCATTTTACACAAACTTCCTGCTGTTATTGTGTTCACTGTTTGGGTTCATTGTCAGTTGTTCTCTACTGTTGGTATGCACTGAATAAAATGGAAATGTCCATAAAATATGTTGCCGAGTTAGGGGTAATCAGTGAACTAAATAAAAGGGTCCCTTAAGGATAGGCTTGGGAACCACTGCTTTAGCCTGAAATATATTAGCCCTACACACTCAAGCATCTCCAGGAAGTGGATTCTACTTCCTGTTGTTTTGGTTGTCTTGGTCCCAGCGTGCCTCACTGACAGGCCAAAGAAAAGATTAAAAGAAAACAGAAAATAGGCAGGAGAGTAGTGGAACTAAACACACCTCCTTTATAACATGCACTGACCAGGCATATGAGCTAAAAGACATTTCACACACACAGACACACACACACTCACACACACACACATACATTTACTATCATTGTTTGTGAATCACAGGAGAAGATTAGCAGCATGTCAGCCTGAAACCATTGCATTGTTGAAAAAGTTAATGTCTCAAGCCTGTTGCTGCTGTCCCACCAGGCAGCATGAGTGTGTAGACAGAGTGTGTGTGTGTGTGTGCAGTGATGACCTGAATCACCACTTTTCACACCTGGAAAAAAAAGAACAAACTAAAGGGAGCAAGGGCGATAGAAATAGTTGGTACAAGGACAAAAACAGGAGATGATACAAAAGGCTGATAAAAAGAAGGAAGATGAGGCCAGTGCAGAATCAGAGTTTATCAGCCCTGGATCCAGAAGTTGAAATGAACTGGGAGCATGACTGGGAGCATGGAGCCGAGCAGCCGGCACAGTGGCACCAGTGGGACTGGGCCTCAGAGCAGATTCCTGCTGTAAGTTCTGTATTTGTTGACTGTAATATTCATAGTTATGTTTTCATTAGTGTATAATCACCTGAAAATAAGAATTGTTGCCATGTATCTACAGAAGCCCAGAACTGACAAGCCAATAGAACCTGGCTCAAGCCTGGCTGCAGATAGGGCTGTTTGCATTTTTTGCACATTTCATAGCCACTGTAGTTTCTCCTTCACACTTGAAAGGGAAGCAAGGGGGTTGCGATCTGCAACTATACCGCTCAATGCCGGTAAATCCTACACACTGGACCTTTAAATTTAGAACTGTATTTAAATCTCATAGCATCTCATTAAATTTTGAATGTAGTGTTCAAATATGCATTTTTTATCCTCTAGCTATTACAGTCTGTTTGCCTCCTGTTGTGCCCTCTGGTTAACAAATGTTAATTGTGTTCAAGGACTCATTCCCTAGTCTGATTTGTCCAAACATTCCATTGTTCTTCTTGTGGTGTTTTATCAAAAACAATAATCCCAAGGCTTTATTTGAATTGTCATCTCTGCTTCATGTCTGTTGTAGTGCATTTAGTTGTCTATCAAAGACAAAGCATACGTTCACATTACAAACCTTAGCACTTCAGATCACATCAGATGTTTTTGTTTGTTTGTTTATCTGATTTGGGATGGAGTCATTCACTGTGCAAACTATTTTATATCATTATCATTTCATTCATTCATATCATTTGTTAATGTTCTTTTTCCCCCCCTGAAATAGTTTCCATTTTATGAGACATTACTTATGGTATATGACAACAAAAAACACAAAGTACATTTGAGGCTGTGAATGTCACTGGTTTGGCAGGTATTGGTCACTATATTATAATTCAAAGTTTAACCCGATGATGGCACTCATCAAAGTTCAGAGATATGATATATCTGCAATGTTCTGAACTACAACTTCTGCAACCTGCTGGTGGTACAAAGTCAGCAAGACACATCATCAGAGGACCATGAGTGTCTCATGGCAATCCATCCAATAGCTGTTGAGAAATCTCGGTCTGGTCTGTGAACCGACTGACAACTTCTATAGAGGTTATATCATTTCTGTCACACTATAAGAACATTTTTTGCACCCTCAAAGTTAACTTTCTCTGACCTGCATGGAAAATTAGTGATAAATGTGTGTTTTGTGTGCTCATATACATTGTTTGGCTGTATTGTGTGCATGTATACACACAAATTTTCTGTCTGTCTCTACGCGTCCTCTGCAGGTATTGAGTCCCACCTACAAGCAGCGGAATGAGGACTTCAGGAAGCTTTTCAAGCAGCTGCCTGACACTGAGCGCCTCATTGTGGGTGAGTCCAAATAACACAGATATGCATACAGTCAACTATAGTGTAAACAGGACAATTACTATAGGTGTTGATCCCATGTAGGCCCTAACTGCTGAAATGCTGCTTTCATCTTTCCCACATTACCTATTGTCCCTCGTCATTGGAACGTTATGGACTTGTGACACTTGGACTCTGAACTTTGATGCAAAGTCTTAGAGCTCACTGTTTCCAAACACATCTGTTATTTCTTGACCTTTGACCTTTAACTCCTTTCAGACTATTCCTGTGCCCTGCAGCGGGACATCCTCCTGCAGGGACGCCTCTACCTCTCAGAGAACTGGATTTGTTTCTACAGTAACATATTCCGATGGGAAACCCTGGTGAGGAACTTTATCTAACTAGAGAACCCTTAGAATGTAATTCATATAAAGTACTTACTTTTTGTACTATAAAATAGGGGTCATTGACTGGATAGATTGTACTTTGTGATTGATAGTTTTTTCCATAAACACTCTGGACCACATTCAAGAAACTGAACTGTACAAAATGGTGCCACATTTACTCAAAATGAAGTTGCACACTCGCAAAATCAATATTTTTTATTTGAATGTATCTTCGGCAATCGACATCTACAGTGACAACTTCTCCTCTTTACTCATAAGCTGATGGTTCGATTGAAGGACATCTGCTCCATGACCAAGGAAAAGACAGCCCGCCTCATTCCCAACGCAATCCAGCTGTGCACTGACAATGAGAAGGTAGTTTTTATAGAAGTTAGCGACTCTATCTTTAATATGTATTATTATACAGTATGGTGCTTTTGATGGCATGTTGACAGTGTTCAAAACAACTCAATACATTTGTGTTCCCAGATACTGTGGACATCATCACTTAAAACTACTTTCTCATAATTTCATGTTTCTTCATCTGACAGTTAAATATACTCTTCTCTCAGCACTTTTTGACCTCATTTGGGGCGAGGGACCGGACGTACATGATGATGTTCAGACTGTGGCAGAATGCTCTCCTGGAGAAGGTGAGATTACATCACATTTACTGTATTAGAACCTGAACATACCTGCCACCATCATTCTTCCTGGATGGTGAAATAATAATTGATTATAATGAATTGGTGCGTTGAGCTGGACGGACTCACTGAGAATGACTTGTCAGTCACAAGGTAGCGCCGCCCTAAAGCATACCCTGCTTTATGGTCTATTTTACTCTAAATGGAATCACCAACATCATGCTGTATAGAAGAAGACTGAAACTAGAGATTGAGACCATAAACTCAGTAGGAAACTGTTTACTGAGCTCATAAATCAAGTCAGAATTAGGCTCATCTTCTTTTTTGCAGCACATTGAGCTGCCCCCTGCTGGCCATTGGAAGGAATGCAGGTTTAAGACCACGGCAAGTTGGCTTCACTTCACAGACCCAGAAGCTCTGTCCACTAGCTATACTGTCAATGGTCACACCACACCTGTGCACTGTATTTCTTATTTTGAGTTTTAAAATATGTCATCATTATCTGTAACCAAAGTTCTGTTTTGATAAACTCTCTTTGTCCCCCTGTCTCTCTCTCCTCTCACTTCTATTTCCTCTCTCAGCCTTTATGTCCGAAAGAGCTGTGGCACTTTGTCCACCAGTGTTACGGTAACGAACTTGGCCTGACCAGTGATGATGAGGACTATGTCCCTCCTGATGAGGACTTCAACACCATGGGGTGAGTATTAAACACAACCATAAACATACCACTCAAGGTGCTTCCCATTTCACCTTACACCTTCCTCACTTATGGTGAAAAATATTCCAAGTGTAACCATGTTTTTGTGTATGTTATCTGTGTCTGACATGGCTGCACCTTCCTTTACTTCCTTATTCATAAACAGTAGGGGATTTCAATTAGATATGACACACACTCATACATCGGTGCTGTGCAATGTATGAGTGTGTATGAATGATTAGTTTCCATTCTGGTGAACAGTTGGCACCTTGCATGGCAGCCACTGCCATCAGTGTTTTTAAAGCTGCACTGGGTATTTATCAGGGATCCAAACAGTCCATCTTGCAGGAGAATCAATAAAGTAAACCAAAAACCATGACCGCATCCATTACAACCATGCTCATGCATGTGTGTAGCCCAGTGCGGGCAGTGTGCAGCAAGCTGGTAACCTTGACCTACAGCTGCTGTCCGTCTCCATGGTGCAGGTACTGTGAAGAACTGCCCGTCGAGGAAAACAACGAGCACAACGACACCAGCAACACCGCCAAGAACACTGAAGCCAAGCCAGATGTCAGCCCCCTCCTGCCCCACAAAGTCTTCCCTAACAACGCCACGCTGGAGCTACCCAGCGCCGATTCTTCAGTCCCTGTGAGTAAGCAGGAAAACATGTCGTCATCCCACATCTTCAAATACTGATGCCCCTTTGTCATCTCATGACGAAGCACAAGGTACCCTTGTGCATAAGATGGTGTATGAGACTCCTTTTTAACACAGTGTTATCATGAAAGTGTTGCTGTTTGGTTAGGTTTAGGCAAAAAAACTACTTGGTTAGGTTTAGGAAAACATCATGTTTAAAATAAATACATTGCATGACATATTACTGCCATTACTGTGACAACATGTCACATGACACAGGTAAAAAAAATAAATAAAAAATAAAGACTTGTATCGTTCTTTACAATATGTCACCTTATTTGGATGGGTTACATTGGACTTACACAGAGGTGGCAAAAGTGCAAGTCAAGTAGAAGTACTGATTCAGCTTCTTTATGCAAGTAAAAGTAACAAAAAGTACAGGCTCTGAAAAGAAAAATGTACTCTCTTGGTTTCTCTGAAGGACTTTTCTACTGGCTTCAAACAGAGTCGAGTCTCCCTCTCTGGTCTACTTCCTCTTGCATTGTTTTTGTCATGTTATGTCTTGATGCTGGGAAGGTGTACAATAATGCAAAAAGTAAAGTAAAAAATAAATTAATCAATATTTCCCTTTAAATGCATTAAAACTAAAGTAACAAGCCTGTTTTGAAAATGGCAGGAGTAGAAAGTTCAGATATTTTTGTAAAAATGCAGGGGGTAAAAGTAAAAAGTTGTCAGAAAAATAAATGCTCAAGCAAAGTTCAGATATATGAATATCTGAACTTTGAGATATTTTCAGATGTTCCTTCCCTGTTACATTAAAGCTCACTGTATCTGCAACTGATGCTAAAGGTACTTTGTGCATCTGTATGGAGACACCGAGGGGTGTGACAAAACACCAGTACTTGACCATAGTATTAATTAAAAATGGACTTCTGTGACGTCCCCCATAGATTTCTGAAAAGCCATTCATTCGGCTCTGGCCGTCGCCATTTTGGCTGTCCTTACTCCCGGCTAACTGCAAAATGCACAAAGAGGCTGCCTGGTTACAGAAAACAGCCACCTATGACAGCACCCATCAGTCAAAGTACCCACGCCCTTAATTATACATAACTTGAAGCCTTAATATAATTTAAACAGTTATAAGTTATATACATACATGTTTATTAACAGGGAAATTAGCTATGTTCTTCGTACCAGGATCTAAACATGTTTATTTCTGCTGTAAAATTGGGCATTTTAATATGAGGCCTTATTGAGATTAACTCACTGTTGGAGCCAGCCTGACAGCGGGCTGGTTATCTTTAAACAAAAAATTTGATTGTAAGCTGTTAGTGCCAAGAACAATTGTATAAGTCTGTACACATTAACATGTAACTAAACAAACATAAACATACTATTTAGCTATTATGTACAGGCAAGTGGATATGAAAGTATTATATATAAATAAAAAATGGACAACAAATATAAACGTGTAGCACTGTATTGTTAATGTATACGACTGTGGGCTGGTTCTGGTAACAAACTACATGTGTCATTCGATTGGAGAAAGTTTTCGCCTTTGAGACATCAACAAGAGTGGATAACTTCTGATTAGAATAACCAAAGGAGTAACAGCAATAAGTAATAATAATAAGGTTGTCATTTTTCTCGAAACTCCATAGAAACCTTTCAATGTCCCCAGGGAGTCCCCTCCCACACGACCCACCTAAATAAACAGGATCTTGTAAAACCGGTGTGCCATCAGAAGCTTCTTACAGTTTGCACAAGGGATCGTACATTTTCAATTGTTCCTCATAACCTGTACTATGGTGAATGCAACGGTAAGCAATTGCAAGAATTTATATTTAGAAATTTTTTCTTCAGAACTTCAACTGGTGTACTGTCTGTACAGTAGTGGATATTTCAAATACTACGTTGTCTTTTAAACTGTTGGGAAGCTCTAAGAATCTAAATTCATACAACAAATGTAATATTTTAATTCTGTTATCGTGCTGTTATATCTCTAACTTTTGTCCCTATGATCAACCTGCTCTCACTCCAAAGTTGTCAAATACTGCCGCTTGGTCAGTGGCCCTCTACTTCAAAATACGACCCTGTGGGTAGCCCTCTAGGGTCATTTCTGGATGCGTCCGGCGTCAAAGTAAGGTGATCTAGTTTGAAAAGCTTAGACATGGAGATGGTGGGTGGATCAAACAAACACAGGACATTGACCCAGGAGACTGCTGTTAGTGTCGCGTGTGAAACCAAAAGTACATTAATTTCCACACTTATATGTCAGGTTTGTTTCTTTTATTCATGTACCCCTGTCAGGTACATGATGTAACTTATAGTCTTTTCCTAAACCTAACCAGACGATGACCGATTCACAACGTCAACCACAGAAGCTTATTTTTCAAAGTCTAACCAGACGTTCCATTTACTGTTGCTAACTTTACCGCGGAGCCTTGTACTTTAAAAAGTCCTGTGACCTGCTGATGAAGGAGCTGTCTGCTCGCTGCTGTCGTTCTTTCTATCTCTCTCCTTCTCTCTCAATTCCTCCCTTACTTATCTCCACCAGAGGTTCCTCTGCTCTGCTGTCGCCACTCTCTACCAACAATGAATTTCCCCTTGGGGATGAATAAAGTATCTATCTAATCTAATCTAATCTAATCATTCTGCATTTGGATGTGCCTGAGCTGTGTCCCCTCACTGTCTGTGTGCTGTCCTCATATGACTGGTGTGAAAAAAAGCAGAAAATCTAACCTTTTTTTCCGAAAAATGTTCGGATGAAAAAAACAGACTTGTGTGCAAAAGCCTTTACTCTCCCATGTCATTCGTTGCAGTGTGGAGGATTTGAATAGAGCTCAGCCTTCCAAATTTTTCCTTGCCACCGTCGCCAAGTGCTTGCTCATGGTGGGAACTGTAGGGTCCTTGTAAATAATTTTATAAGGAGTACGGTCTAGACCTGCTGCATTTGAAAGGTGTCCTGAGATAACTTCTGTTATGAATTGGCGCTATACAAATAAAATTGAATTGAAAATGGAATTGAATTCCAAGCGTGTGGGAGAAACTATAAATTAAAATGCAAAATGCCGTATCTGGTGTTTGGTTTGTGCGTTTTGGTCAACTGTAAAAACATGGCGGCCTTTTAAATAATGTTATAGTTTTCTGCTTTTGTGCTCCTTGAATCTTTATTTATTCTTTCTATTAGAAATTGCACTGCTTTCTGTTTCATCTGTTTATTCTATTTTATGCTTTTTGTCAGGGTTCCAAACCTGGGGACCCCCACTAGGGGTTGCCAAAGCTTTGTATGGGGTTGAGAGGCCTTTGCAGAGCATTTGATTTTAAAACTTAAAAAATGTACACAGTAAGCCTGTATGTCACCATTTGGTTCTCTTCTGTGAATAAACGTAAATTGTCTAATAAAAGTGTAAGGGAGAAGAAAATATGAATTTGCCTTTTAAGTTTGTATTATTCTTAACAACGATTAAAAAATTACATAATACAAGCCGAGAATTGTCTGTATTATGTAAACAGGAAATAATCTGCTCAAAATTCGTCTAAATCACTCGTTTTATATAAACTTCCTGCAGTTACTAAGTTCACTATTTTGGTTCATTGTATAGTTTTGAATAAAAGATTAAATATCCATAAAATATGTCATTTAAGCAGGGGTTGTCAGTTTTCTCAATGATAGAAAAGGGCTCCCTTAATGAAAAAGGTTGGGAACCAATGCTTTATGTAAAGCACTTTGAAATGCGCTGTATAAATAAACCCGCCTTGCCGTTTTGGCTCTTCCTGGTCCAGCAGTATGACCTGCCCCCTGTTGAGGATGTACCCAGCCCTCTCCCTGATGCAGACCTCCTGACCCTCCCCATGCCTGAGAACCGCAGCAGCCAGCCCAGCAGCCACGCCCCTTCACCGTCACTGGACCTCAACGACAACGAGGACCTGCCCACCGAGCTCAGCGACTCATCCGAGACGCACAACGAAGGTATGCGTGTTAGAAGGTGTTATTTCACACATAAAATACAAAATGCAGACATCCTCATTAACATAAACCATAAGTGAATTTGTTGGTCGCTGTTCTTTTTCTGTGTGATTTTTAAATGTTCATCTGTTCAGTTTTTACCCCACTACACGGTCACACACACAAACACTCTTCTGTGCAGGCGAGGTGCAGGCCTTCCACGAGGACCTGAGTGGCAGGCAATACATCAACGGGGTGTACAAGTTTGGTGTGGACAAGATGTATGACTTACTATTCACTGAGTCTAAGTTCATGAGAGACTTCCGGGCGCAGAGGAGGTTCTCAGGTAAACCCATTATAGAACATACACTACATGTCACTAGAACATGTCTGCTGTGTGGAAATGTATCTTTATTGTTCTCCCTAATTGCTGTAGTTTCTAACTAATTATCTCCGTTTTGAATACAATTCAAGTAAAATTCAAAAAGCTGAAACAAATTCATCAAACTGAGCATGGGAAAGGGTCTCAACTCTTTGTTCATTACAGAAACACTATGTAAGTTTTGGTATTTGTTACGATTTGGCGGCCCCAGTTGCAGTAACACTGGAAAATATAGACAGTTTATGATTACATTACTTACGATCAAAAACTAGCTATTTGATATCGTTACTAACACAGCCAAAGATCCAGAAAATGCAACACAAGACATAGCAAGCAACTAATATAACTGACTAGGCCAACAGCAAGAAGGCCAGCTCACCGTCTGTCTGCAGGCCAACGACTTTGCCACTCTTGTCTGGCTGCTTCTCTCTCCTTTTCTCCTCTTAGCTTCCTCCATCAATGTCCTCTTAGGTCCTTGAGCCTCTGCCATATCCACAGAGGCTGATGAGCACATTGCCCACTTGCATTGATTCAGTTCTGGCACAACACCAGCTCTGCTCCTAGCAGTCCAAAGTCCAGTCCTTTGCTAGCGGTGCAAATACACAAACATCCCCCCCAGTGCTCTGAGCTCCCAGTCCAGGCAACACGGACTGAGTTCACTACCTTGGCGGTTAACTTATTTCAGCAACTAATTAAAGCTTTCTTTCCATCAGGAAACTCAGTCAAAGACAGTTTAGGTGAAGCAGCGGAAAGATATCAGAAAGCTGTTTTGCTCCATAAAATATGATCCAGTTTCACCAAAATCAGTTATATAGTTGGTGGTGTGTGACTACTGCTGTAGAACGTTACACAATTATTGAAACCCAGAGCCAAAAGTTACATAGTGCAAGAACGGGTGTACGGGAGCAGAGTGGACATGACAGAGGCACTTTCAATGATTTTGAAGCTGTTTAGAAAAGATACTTAATGTTGTTTTAATGTCAGTCATAGATATTAACATGACTTGTTTTCTGATGACTCTGTCCCTGATTTTATATAGAACATCAAACAATTATGTCTTATCTCATTCTTTCTGTTTTCTCTTTAATTTAGACTGCTTTCAACATTTCATTATATTTTATTTGATGTATAAAATCATGAGAATAACCAAATTTTTACATCTGCCATGGAGGTGTGTGTATGTGTTATCATTCTGGCAGTTGTGTGTATTTTTGAAAATAGGATATACACTTCCATATTTCACACTACAGATCCGCCACAGTCTCAATAAACATATTCACAATGCCTCCTCAGGCTTGTTGTGTTGACTAATTTGACTAAATTGACATAACTTAAACTTGATGAGCTGAATTCTGTGAAACCAATGGTAGGATGTGAATCGCACCTCCTGCAATCTCGTAACCTGAGTGCTCCTGATGGTTTGTTACATAGAACCACCTGGCACGTGGGGGGCAGAACTGGGCCCTCATTAAATTATGGAATAATTTTTTTTAATTTTTTAAAATAGCCCTATTTGTGGGGGAAAAAAAGTGTAATATTTGAGTTACATAACATCTTTTTATTTGTGTTCTTCCTAATTGTCCTTGAAATAGTGGTCAAGAACCCCCCCCACCCCCAACACAAAAATGGTTTGGCCACTGATCGAAATTTTAAAAAGTCCGGTCAGCACAAGTCCGGTGCTCAGAAAAGGAAAGAAAAGAGAAGAGAAGAAGAAAATAAAGAGGCCTTAGAGATTTTAAATATTTAAAAAAAGGTGGTGACGGTGAAGCTGGAACTGGTAAAGTCAATGTAGAGCAAAGTAAGAAACAGCGCAGCCAACGTTTAGTAGCCTTGTAACGTAAGCTAACAGGCCAGCTCTAATGTTAATGTCCATCAGCTTGTATAAAAGCCTGACACAACACGTTATCTCCGACAGAAACAGTTGAATTTGGTAGCTCAGTCAGAGAGGATGAGACAGAGAGGAGAGAGATCCAGCTGCAGGCAGGTGACAGAGAGAGTAACGCGGGACAGAGTCAGGCTACCGGTGAGAGAGAGAGAGAGAGAGAGAGAGAACCCCCCCGCTGCCCCGTCGGAGAGTCTGAGCAGAATGGGTCAGAGATCACACTTAATTTCAGCGATCCTGCATTATGACTGGATAGTATATAGCAGCTCCAAAAAGGCCTTATTTTGCCTACCATGCTTGCTGTTCTCCTTTGAAGTAGAGAAAAAGTCAACTAGTGCACTAAATTCCAGAAAACATGAAAGAAACCGTGCACACAGACATTGTTATTGGAAGGAGAGGAAGAGCAGAGGAAAAGGAGAGATCTGGGTGTGGGGGGGCCCATCTAAGATTATCTCATCCTGGGCCCAGGCAAGACTGTCAGCTGGCCTGCTGTCAGTAGTTCCTCATAGGAGGATGATTGGTCCGAACCACTGTGGTTGGACACAAGCACAAAGCTTGAAGCTTGGTGTGATCGAGCTCCCTAGCAAGTTTAGCAATCTCATGTACATGTATGATACAAACAAAACACTTGCCTACTTATAAAGACATTGCTCCTTTGTGTTACTAGTGATCAAACACTGCACAGTGTCCATTTAAGTTTCCTTGTCACATTTCTCTTGCAGATGTGGTGTATCACCCATGGAGGAAAGAGCAGGATGGTAACCAGACAAGAGAGATCATGTACACCATTGCCCTGAATAATCCTCTCGCTCCCAAGACAGCTACAGTCACTGAGACACAGGTAGGTGGACATTTCTTGAGCCATGGCCCGATGAATGCTCAGTAAAAATTTTTTTTGTTTTTTTAAATCAATGTATAAACTCCATGAATTAGTATCTGACTGTGTGCTGTTGTGAGTTCAGACTCTATACAGGGCGAGCCAGGAGAATGAGTGCTACATTATTGACGCAGAGGTTATCGCCCATGATGTGCCCTACCACGACTACTTCTACACTCTCAACCGCTACATGCTCACCAGAGCGGCCAAGAACAAGTGTCGTCTTAGGTAAGAAGGATGTGTTTCATGACTAGAACAAGTATAGAAAGAACTGTGCTTCTTTTTAATGCCAAGTGCTGGTTCATCAGAGTCAACTTTTAAGAGATCCGTAATGAGCCCTTAGCAACAAGGATGGAGAACAAAAATTAAAACAGAGTTCCAATGTATTGTTAGTTGTGAAAAGAAACACTGAAGTTAGTCAACTTGAAGCTCACTTTGAAACAAAGTGCTCTCACTCCAATCCTGAACTCCACCTTCCCTCTGTGAGTGCTTCACTGACAGAGGGTCACTGTAAAGTCAAAAGAGGATGAAAATGGAGGCTGGAGAGAATAGAACTGTGTGTCAGTATTTTACAATTTGCAACAATGTTGTCTTTATAAAATAAATATAAAAGCTTACTGTTTTTTGTTTTTAAATGGTTTTTCACCAAAAACAATACCCAGATTAATATACATCAGAACTAGTCCTAACTTAATATATTCTTCATCTGACTAATCTTCTCCCCATTACAGGGGGAGGTGGGGAATGAAAGATTAACTGTGCTCCTTGGTAATTTAACTCATAGTCCCTAGCAAGATTGGGAAATTACAGGATGTGGTCTGTCACAGACATTGACACTTCACAGGAAAAAGCTAAAATAAAAAACCAAAAGCCTCTCCAGCGGGGTATGGGAGAGTTTAAGGGAAGGCAAAGATGCTGCATGAGGTCAGTTTGAGTCACATTCCTTCTCAGAGTCAAATCTTAACACAGAGATCTGAAACACATATTGTTGATCAATGATGGTAACATAGTAACACGTTCAGTGTCAGATAGCTGTGGACACTCAAGCGCACACGGTTCCATTCAAGTCTTGCTGTCTAAACACTGTCTTTCCTGAGGGCCTTCTACTACTACAAGGACTCTGGGTGGAATTTAAACATTTCTCTACATGGAAATTAACATTTTTGATTTTATTGTGTGTGTGTGTGTGTGTGTGTGTGTGTGTGTGTGTGTGTGTGTGTGTGTGTGTGTGTCTGCAGGGTGTCAACAGAGCTTCGTTACAGGAAGCAGCCGTGGGGGCTTGTGAAGGGCTTCATTGAGAGGAACTTCTGGAGTGGCCTGGATGAGTACTTCAGACACTTAGGTTAGCACTACAGCACAGCAACGAACAAAATGTCTAACAAAAATCTTATTTTCATAAATGTTGGTTGATCTGACTTAGAGACTAAGGAAACCACGCCAGCTGTTTGGTTTGCAAACTAGCAAAATACCTTTTCATCTGCAGCAGTGTTCATTTTGGCAGCTATTTTAGATTTAGTCCTAGTCTTTAGATTAAAATGCTTTTTAGTTTTAGTCCCTTTTTGTCTTTTTATTTAGCCTAGATCAGGTGTATATTACCTACTGCTGATACTGTCATTGTCTCATGGGAGGGCCACTTCAAGTACTACAAGAAAGTGCAATATTGAGAAAATATTTCCATTACTAACATCATACTTAAAGAAAATGTAACAGCAGCTTCTATACATTTTAAATCATCATTTTATCATCTTTGTTGTTCCCAACTAAACAAAAAATAAAGGCCTGAATCCTGTTTGTTCATATGCATTTGTGGTCACCTTTGACCTTTGCCATTATTTTGCACCAAATGAAACATTATTTATGTTTTTTATTATTATTTTAACTGTATATGAAGGGGTAGTTAAATTGGTATGAAACAACAAGAAAAAATAGAAAATGATAATATTGCATGCTTTATATTATATATCATATAATATTTTTTGCAGGCTGGTGGGAGGGGTATAACACTGATCTGCATGAGACTTAATTAAAGTTGCAACTGTTTTACAGTACATTTTCTCAAATCAAATCAGATTCATGAGTTTAGTCCACAACTCTGCTTATTTCTGAATTTCCAGAAAAGTGGTCATGTGACTAACTCTCACTAAAACCTCTAGCCCCCCAAACCTTCCATTCTTCTCTCTCTGGTTTCCTTCTGTCTAGAGCTGGAGCTGAATAAGTTGGATGTGGTGTCAGTGGAACCTCACAGACAGTCACCAAAGACCAAAGCTCTGAGGACAGGCACCAGCCGGAGGAGGAAACAGACACTGAGAACGCCGGGGAACATGGACGAGTGCTTGAGCCCCGTCACCACGCCTGAGGATGAGGAGGACATCGGGTGTATCAAATTTGTGGCAGGTCAGCCCAGCAGCTCTGTGGTCAGTAAAATACTGTAGGACTGACGCCAAGCAAAAACATCTTCTTTTAGAAAACAGGACAGGGATTCATGGGAAATGTAATTTCCCTGTAACTTTGAGAATCTTTTTTTGAGTTTCTGTCACAGTCCCTGCTTCCTGTTTCTTGTTCTCCTGTAGGTTCCACACAGACCAGACATGTACCCGATGCTCCAGGAGGCCTTGCACTTTACAACTTCTCCAAACTGCTGCTTCTTATCAGCCTTGTGTGAGTTATGGTATTACTTGTATATTGTCATCACTCCCATTACGTACCCAAAACAGGAAACTGGCATCCTGACTCACCTTCAGACTCAGCACAAGTACTTGTCTCCATTGATCGTGAAACCAAGCAGACTCGACATCCTGTGCTCTTACCACCAAGTTACTCTAAGCAGTTAGAGTACATAATCGGAACATTTTTTTTTTCAATTAATCAGTTAATTGTTTCCAATAAACTTCAGATGTCTTTTTTTTTGTCTGACCAACAGTCTAAACCCCAAAAATATTCAGTTTGCTGTGATATAAAACTGAGAAAAGCAGCAAATCCTAACAATTGACAAGTGGGAAAAAGAGAATATTTGGCAGTTTTACTTGATAAATGACTTTTAGTCATCTTAATGGCTGTCTCATTATCTGAATTAGCAATTCTGACAACTGACTCTTCCTAAGTCCCGCCCCTTTTTGCTCTGTCCTCCAATAACAGTTGAGCTAGCCTTGGTCGGAACCTCAGTCCACTTCTTCCTTACCTGTACTTTTGCTCTGTGCTATGTTGAAAAGACAACCACATTTTGAAGATGGTATAAATATTAAGTGACACAGTCATACCTTAAGTTAGTTAGCAAAATGTAGCTAACTAACAATTTATGTAAATTAGCTAGTTAGTTAGCTATCATTTTGTGACCGTTATCTTTCATATGTAACTAGTTAGCTTACGATTGGTTAGCTAGCATTTTGCTAACATTAGATAGCTAACTTAAGATGTGACTATAGGTATATGACGCTTTTTTTCTTTCAACATAGAGAGCCTAGCACATAGCATGTCTAAGTTTACCGAGGTTGAGGAAGTTCACCAAGGCTTGCTCGACTGTTTCTGGAGCACACAGTAAAAAGGTGCAGGGGTTAGAGAAGGTCAAGAAAGAGAAACTCAATTCTTGACATTTCTTATCAGCACATGAAGTCAGCTGTTTTTGTTTTTATCATCATCTAACACAGTTTAATAGTTTTATATAGCAGAGAATATTTAAGGATGTGCATTTCTTTCTATCTTTGTTCTTTTGTTTTTGTGTTGTTGAAATATTTTGTAATCTACATATTTTTCTCTGTTCTTGTCTTAAATTGCATACCAGGATCTGTATAAGGTATTTTCATTTCTGCCGTGGCCCTGATTCATGTCAGCAAATGGCATTAAGTGACTTAGTAGATGAGCCTCTGTTGTACACTTTTTCTTTTTCAGCCTGATATTGCTGGTGGTTCTCAACGTAATGTTGTTCTACAAGCTGTGGATGCTGGAATACACCACACAGAGTCTGACTGCATCGCATGGACTGAAACCACAAGAGGGGTAATGGCATGTTTGGACATTTGGAGAAAGGAATCAAGGTGTTGTTTGTGTGTATTGTTTGTCTGTTTGCTACAAATGATTGCAATAGATCATAAACCCCCCAAAAAAGAGCATAGTGACACTACACTTGATCAGACTGGGAGAAAACTGGGAGTTTGCATGTAGCAGTGTAGATTGTCTAAAAAGCTTACAAAAGCTTACAAGTCTGAACAGTATAAACTGATAATATGACACAATCAATTTGTTTCCAAGGAAAACCTTCTCGGAACCAACTTTTCAGGTTCTGAACCAATTTATTTTTGGTGGAAATGTTCAGAACAGTTAAACCTAGATGGTGACTCGCTTCCATGTTGTTGGAAAAGACCTATAAGTGTGGGCTGTGGCTCAGAAGTAGATAGGGTCATCCACTAATCGGAAAGTTGGCGGTTCAATCCCCAGCTCCTCTCGTTGCATGTCAAGGTGTCCTTGAGCAAGACACTGAACCCCAAATTGCTCCTGCTGCTGTGCATGAATGATTAGTTACCTTTCATCAGTGTATGAATGTGCACAAAGGTTAGTATGGCACGTAGCGTAGGGCACATTGAGTGGTGGAAAGACTAGAAAGGCGCTACATAAGTACAGTCCATTTACCTGTATTTTAATTACATCAATATGACTCTGTCTCATCAACAGAACTCCTCAGACCCAGCTGGAATGGGTACAGCTCATGGATTCCCAGCAGCGTTACCATGACGACGAGCTCCAGAAGTGGAAAGAGATAATCAAGTCATCAGTGCTGCTGCTTGATAAGGTGAGGCGACACATCAAACACAGGTAATTCTTCCACAGGCGCGTACACAGCGAAACCCTTAGTTATTTATGTTTTTTAGAAAATTTCTGTTTGGCTTTTTGTTCAAATGACTCTGCTTAAGACCTTTATGAAGGTGAAAAAGTAAAATAATAAAAACTTGAACACCAGGAACGTCTCCTTCACAACGACAACATCCACTATTCAAAAGACGCAGACAGTCGAGTGGTTTGATGAGCAAGAGAATCATGTAAACAGTGCTGCTGTAAGAGACAGCAGATCTCAGGGCAATAAACAGCACATCAAAAGGAAATCAGTTCTGCTGGGCGTCTTTTCACTCCACACACCAGAAACATTGTTTAGACACACTGATCTAGAGTCTGCTAGAGGTCCAGCCCTTCTCTTTCAGAGTGTATACACAGGAGGGGCTTTGTCCGTCACACACATCTCATGGAAAAGACACGTCTACAGTGACCGAGTCATAGCTCATGTCCCACTCATGCTGTAGGCGTGTAACTGCGACCCAAAGCACATTTTTGTCTATTTTTGTCACTTTTACAAATGTAACTACAGTTACGTTTAGTAATTCAGTTTAGTTTAGTTACGTGTGTTGGCTTCTGAGTCCTCAGTACTGTGCCTGAACAGATCTTCCATCGATAGAGAGAAGACATGGTTAGTAGGGATAGACAGATTATTGGTACTGTATTTTTTTGTGCGATTGCAATAAAATTACTGTCTGTCTGTCTGTCTGTCTGTCGGTAGTCACCACTTGCTCAATGTCCCGCCCACAAAACTATCTGATTGGTTATACATTATAGTAATAGTAGAGTAAACTTCTCTTTTGCACTATTTAATTAAACATAACTATGCTTAAAGTAAAGTAAATGTAGCACAGTGTAAGAATTACAAGTATTCGAAATCTTACAAAAGTATTGCCATCGAAATGCACTTAAAGTTCCAAAAGTAAAAGTGCAGAATGGCCCATTACGTACAGTAAAAATAGAATAAAAGTTTAACAAATCTGATTTTGACTAAAATCTGTTTTCGTTGTCTGTCTTAGTTAATGAAGATTGGATTCTATACACACACTGTGTGATATAGACATTTTATCACTGATATCCTTCAACAGTATCTGACTAATTTTCTCTCCTGCCTTTTCATCCAGCTAAGAGAGTCCCTTCTCAACCTTCATAAAAGCATTGGTGTCAGGGACCACAATGAGTCAGAAAAAAGAAGAAATCAGTATCACTGATCAGAGTCAGAGCTTTTCAGAAAAAGAACCCTGAACCTCAAGTGACCTCCCCAAACTGCAGTAGGTGAGAGAGTGCACTACCACACCACAGTGTGTCCTGCAGAGACTACATCATTTGCAGGACTTGTCTGTAGCTTTACGTCTGTCTCGTTCATCCACATTCCTCCTCTCCAAAGCCCAACGACCCAAAGCATGATGCTTCTTCTAGCTTCTGATATTTTTCCAAGTGAAAATCCATATTGAAATTATATGCACATTCACTTTCAGAGGTGCAAAAATACACATATTTTCTTTCCCTTCAAGGAGCTCCATCAGCTGCTGTAGTACTTTGTTTTTTTACCTTTAGAACTAGGAAACAGACAGACACTTTAATAAATCCACAGTTTGCAGTATTTCAAGTTCATCAAGTTTGCCCAGCAGAAATATGAGGAATTAAACTGTAACAGCATACGTTTTGTGTGTGTGTGTGTGTGTGTGTGTGTGTGTGTGTGTGTGTGTGTGTGTGTGTGTGTCGGTGTGAGTGTTTTTCAGACGTATATGGCAGTCAGGGCTAACTTTACCAGGCATATTTGGCAGATCAGGGCTGGCTTCCCTGAGACCTTATGCCAGACTTTTGTGATTCTATGTTGTATGTTTATGTTGTCTGCGACATAAAATGTTCTGAACTGTGGCTGCAGCGCTGCTCTGCAGGTTTGATTTACTGTTATGTTGATAAGGAGGTTTTGATTTGCAAGCAGAGAGAATGTATGGAAAGAAAACAAGAGTGCTCATTCAAAGTGGAACGGCTCCAGGTTTTCTAATGAGTTGCCAAGGGAATAAAAAAATGTTCTGTTCACAGCCAACCATTATGTCATTCCAGTGTTTTAGTGATTTACCCTGACACATCGCACTGCTTAATCACTGCCAAGGCTCTAATGTCAATAACGTTACCCTATTTTGAAATCCTTTTTAAGCCATTTCTGTGCATCAATTCATGTGTGACTGTCATGTATACATACTGTGGGCCAACAGCTCAGCCATGAAGTAGGCTCAATGTCAGATGCAGTGAAATTAAATATGTGCTAGCTTTCTGCTCTGGTACTGTAGGATCTTTAAATCACTCATGTTCTTTGGTTTGATTTTACAAAATTTTGTCAGAGCTGGTCTGCCAGAGATAATCTCACTGGTTTGAGCTGGAGCTCAGTGGGCAGAGACAGAGAGCCACAGTTCATTAGAGTACAGGTTACAGTAGTTAAAAGGCAGCCTCAAAGAGAAAAACAAGTTGCTTAAAGTAAAAGAAAAGACACTGACTTCATACTAATGGTATTCATTAGCTGGCATGGTCAACGACTAGCTCAGTGAGTCAGACATGATTCTGTCACTTTGTGGTGAATATACATCTGGAGATTATAAGTAGTACGGTCTAGATCTGAAAAGTGTCCTGAAAAAACTTTTGTTATCAATTTGCGCTATACAAATAAAATTGAATTGAAATTGAATTAAGACAACCAGTGTAAATGTTGGTTACTCGAAGCTGCAGTAGGCAATTTTTATAAAAATATTTTTGTCATATTGGCTGAAACTTTCTCTATATACTAACAGTAGTACATAAAACAGATAATCTGTGAAAATTCAAAATCAGGTTCCTCTGGCTCCTCCTAGTGCTCTTAATGGAATTTTCATTGAAATCCACTGGGCCTAAATGAAAACAATCAATCAGAGCCAAGAATGCTAGCTGATTATTAAGGTTCATTCCCAGAGAGTCAAACAGAGACACTTTGGGATCCTAGGAATGAGTGTTTCCAGGGAGCAGGTTTAACAAACTCTGAATCTAGGGTTAGGAGGGTTAGATTCAGAGTTTGTTAAATCAGAGTTGTTTGATCAACTCTGAACATGTAAAATAATAAACCCTCACATCAAAAACAGCCATGAACAAAGGAGCTCCAATACTACAATTCACCATGGCAATGACTAAAAGGGCAGAGCGTGATGCACTGCCTTCCTATCGGAGTGCACAGCTAGCTTAATGCTGAGAAAACAGCACTGAAAATGTCCTTGTTAAAATGGATAAAAAGCACCAAAAGAATTTAGTTAATAGTATATGGTTGGGGTTCTGTTGTGGGTAGGGGGGTCTGTTGATCACATACTTGACTGAACTGTTAAAGTCTTGCAAAAACCCTGTAATGCCATGTTTGCCTTTTTTTTCCCTTATACTTTTCCAACTTATTAAAATATTTTCTGATGCGAGGACGAAAGCCAAACTATTGAAATGTGTGACAAATGTTGAAATTTTAAACAAAATCAAGTGAAGTGCCACTGAATCCTTTAAGACCTTTACCATATGAGTATTTTGTGTCTGAAATATAGTGAATGGCTGTTAATCAATGTTATTTGCATTTATTTTAATGGTGTTATAGAGAAGAAACCAGCAACGTGAAAAGGCGTCACTGTTACTGTCTCCCATAAGATGTCGTTGGCTGGAGTACTGGGTAGACAGCACAAATCATTTTAAATGATGAACAATCTTGGTTATACATTAGCTGTAACTATAATCTGAAACCACATCTGCATAAGAACACAATTCTGAACACAATCAGCCCTGTTAAAGGCCTGATGAGCGGGACACCAACTGTGTTCAAAATAAATAATGTGGGCGCCTGGTTAGCTCACCTGGTTGAGCTGGTGACCATGTACCGAGTCCTTTCTGCAGCAGCCCAGGGTTTGAATCTGACCTGTGGGCCTTTGCTGCATGTCATCTTCTCTCTCTACCACCCTTTCCTGTCTATCTTCAGCTGTCGCTATCAATTAAAGGCAATAAATAATAAAAAATAATAATAATAATAATATGACATTAAGTGCAATGCAAATTCAATTTGACTATTCCAATCATTAAAGTGATCAGTGGAGAGAAAATAGTGTATATATTATATACACGTTTTATAAGATTTACTAATGTAAATAAGGCTTTGTGAAGTGGACAAAATTTCACATTTCTTTGCAGTGATAGACACTGGTGTTGTGAGAACACTAGAGCAAGTACTCGGCTAAAACAAGTATCTGGTACAGATAATGTAATGAGTAAGAGTATCAAAGTAAAATGTGTCAATATCCATATTAATAAGTATGGGAACTGAGAAACAAAAAACTGTAAATAGTTATATTACTCTTGCAATCCAAAACATTGCTCTGAAGCTCAATTCTGATAAACCCATATCAATTTCAGGCTTAAACCTAGTCCAGACCACAGCCGGTTTAATGGTAAATGGTAAATGGACCTGTACTTGTATAGCGCCTTTCTAGTCTTCTGACCACTCAAAGCGCTTTTACACTACAAGCCACATTCACCCTTTCACACACATTTACTCAGTGATGGCAAAGCCCATCGAACAGAAACTAGCACATTCATGCACATACACATACCGATGCATGGCATCAGAAACAATTTGGAGTTCAGTATCTTGCTCAAGCATGCTTTGACGTGTGGCACCAGGAGCTGGGGATTGAACTAACAACCTTCCAATTAGGGGATGACCTGTTCTGCCTCTGCACCACGGCCGCCCGCTTTAAGGACCACTCATGTCAGATTTAAGCGCCACCATTCTGAGTACAGATACAAATCTGGATAATTTAGTTAGTTGAACAACAGATAATAGTGTTCTTGCTGATCCTTAGAAAACACATTTGTGCATTTGACTGTCAATACTGTGGATGTTTTAAGAGAACTTCACTTCAAGAGTAGCTGTAATATTAATTAGCCAGTGGAAGCAGTGATTGGTGGAAGCAAGAGTAGATCTTTTCAGTCCTTGCAGTAGTGCAAAAGAATATGTGGGTTTAAGTGTGTGGGTACATAAATTGAGACCATTAAATGTACAACACCAATTCACTGCCATTGCCATTTTCTTCCACGTCCACAAAACCTAATTTACATTATTATCATATAAAGCAGATGTAAATTACATAAATTAATTATTTGCGTATTCTCCATAGTTTTCTAGGTCATTGTTAAAACAATTCAAAAACAGATGTTGAGATAATGTAATTTTATTTTAAATCCTAACTGTCAGTGGAATCTCCAGTATAATACCACTGAAGCCACGTGGCTCCTCTACTGTATATGAAATGCATGGCTATCCTGTTAATGCTAGAGATCAATCAAACATCATGCATCCATATTAAAAATAATAATTTATTTTAAAGTGTGAGTGTGAAAACACTGTACACAAGCCTAAAAAGTAGACTGATATTCAGTTTAATGCAGTTTGAAGTTTCACAGTGTGGCTTATATGTGGTAGTAGGAAGTGACAAGTCTGTGTTTGGTCAAGTTTCCATGACAATCCCCAAAATGTACCTTCAGCATCATCTCTCTCACACACACAAACAAACACCTGCAGTATTTCTTTCATCTGGCCTTCATACAGCTCACTTCGTAGTGTACTGTTGTGTTGTATACTCCTGTGTGTGCTTAGAATACCTGACCTGTCTTTGGAAACCTTTTTTGATCTGAATATATGAATCTAAACTATACAGATATGATAACATTATGTATATTGTTGTGTAGTTATGGTGCAGATTATAGAGCTCAAACCACGCTGGCAGTGGATTGAGGAAGAAAAAGGGAAACATTGTACAGACAAAGGAATGAATAAAGGTTTTGAAAAAAAATATGTGACTTTTGACTGTGTCATTTGTACACTTCTACAGAGATAACAGAGGCTTAGTCACTAGTAGCTGGTAAGGTGCAACTGTAAAGCAGGTTCCTTTTCCGATATTGTTCTGATAGTATAAGTTGAAAAGTTACAAAAAATGCATTTCACAGCAAAGCACATAGAATGTACACTGTACAATAATAGTGTCCAGTAATCTACTGCACATTAGTACACTGTAAACCTAATGAGTAAGATCAATTTAAACTGTTTGAGGAAACAGATTGCCTCATTTAAGTTTATGAACTCAAACAATTTAAGCATGGAAGAGTTGAATAGAAGTAACTAAAGTATTTATTGTTAAGGTAACTGGGGTAAATTCAGTTAACTTTTAACCTTTCAGTTAATTATAGCAACACTCATATGCAGCATTTCTCCAAACTTATTTAAAACAAAAGTTATCTGAATAAAGTAAATCAAATGTACCTTGTTGGTACATTACCTGTCAAAACAGCTGAAATTATACTTGACAGTTGACATCATCCACCCTTCTTGGATGACTTTTGTATGTACAGTAATGAATTTTATTTACACGTGTAAATGTACTTTGAGTAACAACTTCTTATTGAATATCCCTTGGCTGCCAAATCGGTGCCTTTTCTGCACCTAGGAAGTTACATGCATAAATATGCATGAAAGGTTGATACATATAGTATGATACATTATATTATCAAGCAAAGTGTCCTGCATTCTGCATTCTGTTGTAGATGCAATTTGACAATACATCATGTAACACCATCATAAAGCTCATCCTCACTCTTCACAGTGAAATGTAATGATCTGAAACCTTTAAAAATCTTTTTCTTTTTCTTTTTTTGTATAGTTGTGTGACATACATACAAAACATTTTCTCATCGGAAATTGTTACTTAAAATACACATTTTAGTCCCCAGGTTTCCATTTAGTCCTTTTGCACAAGTGACATGATCAGCAAGAAGTAGCATCATTATAGTCTTCTAATGCCATGAAGACCGAAGGTAACTTTACTCACTCTGTGTTCTGTATTTTTTGGTCATATTATAAGTATTCTGTATATGACTAAGAATGTTAATCTCAATTAAATTCAATTCAATTCAATTTTATTTGTATAGCGCCAATTCATAACACAAGTTATCTCAGGACACTTTTCAAATAGAGCAGGTCTAGACCGAACTCCTTATAACATTTACAGAGACCCAACAGTACCACCATGAGCAAGCACTTGGCAACGGGGGCAAGGAAAAACTGCCTTTTAAGAGGCAGAAACCTAGGACAGATCCTTCGGCTCTAGGTGGGTGGTCATCTGTCTCGACCAGTTGGGGTGAGAGAGAGGGAGAGAGAAAGAGAGAGAGAGAGAGACAGACAGACAGGTGCACAGCAACAACTGTAGCTACAACTACACTAATAGTAGTGACTGATGATGATGAACATGAAGAAGATGATGACGACGACAACAGCAACGATGGGGGACAATGAGCAGTGACAATAGTAATAATAGTAACTGTAGTAATAATAATAATAATAATAGTAACAATAATAGGTGATATTAGCAAGAACTCTGGGGAAGAAGTGAAGTTAGTAACATGCATTAGTGGGACATGAATGAGTGCAGAAAGAGAGAGAGAGGAAGAGAGGAGCTCAGTGCACCATGGGAAATCCCCCGGTAGTCTAGGCCTATATCAGCATAACTAAGGGATGGTTCAAGACTCATCTGATCCAGCCCTAACTATAAGCATTATCAAAGAGGAACATCTTAAGCCTACTCTTAAATGTGGAGAGGGTGTCTGCCTCCCGAACCACAACTGGAAGCTGGTTCCACAGGAGAGGAACTTGGTAACTGAAGGCTCTGGCTCCTGTTCTACTTTTAGAGACTAAAGGAACCACTCTTTAAGATATGAAGGGGCCTGACCATGAAGAGCTTTGTAGGTGAGGAGGAGGATTTTAAATTCTATTCTAAATTTTACAGGGAGCCAGTGCAGAGAAGCTAGTACAGGAGAGATGTGATCTTTTTTCCTAGTTCCTGTCAGTACTCGTGCTGCAGCGTTCTGAATTAATTGGAGCGTCTTAAGGGACTTATTGGGGCAGCCTGATAATAGGGCGTTGCAGTAATCCAGCCTAGAAGTAACAAATGCATGGATTAGTTTTTCTGCATCTGTCTGTGATAGGATGTGTCTAATTTTTGTAATATTATGTAAATGAAAGAAGGCAGTCCTAGAGGTTTGCATCCTGATCAAGGATAACTCCAAGATTCCTGACAGTGGTGCTAGAGGCCAAGGTAATGCCATCTAGAGTAACTATATCTTTAGACAGTGAGTCTCTAAGGTTTTTGGGGCCAAGAACAAGAATTTCGTTTTTTTCTGAGTTTAACATCAGAAAATTGCAGCTCATCCAGGATTGTATGTCCTTAAGACATGTTTGTAATTTAGATAATTGATTAATTTCATCGGGCTTGATCGATAGATATAACTGCGTATCATCTGCATAGCAGTGAAAGTTAATGGAGTGATTCCTAATAATGTTGCCTGAAGGGAGCATATATAAAGTAAATAGTATTGGTCCAAGTACAGAACCTTGTGGAACTCCATGACTAACTGTAGTATTTATTGAAGATTCATCGTTAACATGTACAAACGGAGAACGATCTGATAAGTATGACTTAAACCAGCTTAGTGCGGTTCCTTTAATGCCAATTTGATGCTCAAGTCTCTGTAAAAGAATATTATGGTCAATGGTGTCAAATGCAGCACTAAGATCCAATAATACAAGTACAGAGACAAGTCCATTGTCAGAAGCAATCAAAAGGTCATTATTAACTTTAAGCAGAGCTGTCTCTGTACTGTGATGAACTCTAAATCCTGACTGAAAATCCTCAAATAAGCTACTGTTATGTAGAAAGTCACACAACTCTTTGGCGACTACTTTCTCCAGAATCTTAGAGAGAAAGGGGAGGTTAGAAATCGGTCTATAGTTGGCTAAAACCCCTGGGTCAAGAGTGGGCTTTTTAAGAAGGGGTTTAATTACAGCTACTTTAAAGGACTGTGGTACATATCCTGATAATAAAGAAAGATTAATCATATCCAGTAAAGAAGTGCCAATTAAGGGTACGACTTCTTTAAGCAGCCTAGTTGGGATGGGGGTCTAATAGACAGGTTGGTGGCTTTGTTGAAGACATTATTGAAGTTAACTAATGAAGATTGATAGCAGAAAAACATTCTAAATATATATCTGGGTTTACATTAGTTCAAGTTCCTGAACTTGGAGAGCCACTGATAGCTGTTGAGGGCATTTGGTGATTAATTTTCTCTCTAATAGTAATAATTTTATTATAAAAGAAGCTCATGAAGTCATTGCTACTTAAGTTTATGGGGATACATGGCTCAATAGAGCTGTGACTCTCTGTCAGCCTGGCTACAGTGCTGAAGAGGAACCTGGGGTTGTTCTTATTTTCTTCTATTAGTGCTGAATAATAGGCTCCTCTGGCATTACAGAGGGCCTTTCTATAGGTTTTAAGATTTTCATGCCAAATTGATTCCTTGTTTGCTTCAATTGGCGGGTTTGGTGGTTGTACCACGGTGCTAGTTTCCTAGGTTTTAATAATTTCCTTTTTATAGGAACGATAGAATCTAATGTTGATCGTAGTGAGCCTGTAGCACTAATAACAAGATTATCAATTTCGGAGGGACTAAATTTAGACATTTAGGCTAACATACTCCTCGTGGGACAACCAGGTCTCAGTAAGACAAAGTATATCAATATTATAATCTGATATTAATTCATTCACTAAAACAGCTTTAGAGGACAGAGACCTGATATTTAGTCCACATTTCATTCTCAGTCCTGTTACTTAAATTATTTCTTAGATGTTATGTTTTCTCAAAGGTTTTGGTAAACATCTGAAAGATTCTCAGCTGTTATTGATACCATGTGGCTACATTTCATAGATTTGCTACAAAGATGCTAAAAACTCCTGTTATTTTCAGTCCTAGCAAAACAACATGTAAGTGTATTGTCATCCACACTGTAAAACCAGATAAGTTCATTTAACAACAGAACAAAATTATGAAACTTATTACATCATAATTTTTAAGTCACATTTACTTAATTTTTTTTGTAAAAAATATTCTTGATTGAGCTGCTTTTATTTGTAATTTTAAGTGGCACTAAATTGGTTTTATAAGTTACATTAACATTCCTGATTGATAACTTTTTTACTAGGGATTTATTAAAGTCATTGTCACATAAAATTACTAAAGCCACTTGATCAAGAATGTTTTTTAAAATGAACTTACACTTACAGTGCAGTTACTGTAAATATAAGCCGCTGTGAGCCGTCCACACTCATTGCCACTGGGTGGCGCGCTTAGCTTACAATCCACACACCCTGCTGATGACTTCCCCAAAATGTAGGAAAAGTTGCATTTGTTGTTTATTGTTCACATCAGTGAAAGTTTACCATCATGTCCTGGTCAGTGTATACCAGCAGGGTGAATAAATCATCTTCCACAGGTATGTACGGACTGTGTATGTATATACGGTATGTAGAATACCCTAACTATATTTTGTATGCATAGAATGCATATCCCCTCACATATAGCTAAAGTTTATACAGCAGCAGCATGTGACTATAATGTTACTATGAGCAATACTGGAATACAGTTTTTGATGCATAAATACTTTTATTAATGACAGTAAACACATTAGAATTTCACTAATGACCGCCACAAGCCTATCTTATTACATCATTTCCTTTATCACTCTGCTATGACATCATGAGGGTTAGTCTTTCATTTTTATTCTCTTTCTTCTTTTCAGTTGATTGAGTTTAGCATTAATGAGTGAGTGTCCTCAGACGGTTGTGGGTGTCTGCAGGGCCAACAAAAGGCTGCCTGCCCTCACAGGCTCCACCAACAGCTGTCCAAGAGATACTGCACAGCGCTGCGCAGGCGAGAGGAGGGGAATGGGTCCGAGTCCGACATCGGTGCAGAGTTCCTACAGCCGATGCCGCTCCACTATAGGTACCCAGAGAACAAGAAGTGTGAGTCAAGTTTTCTGCGGATTTATTTAGCTTCCCTTTGTCAGGAAACGTGAGGAGAAGGAGAGAACGGGATGTCTTTACAGGAGCTACCGGGCTCTTTTGGAGTCATATTCCCAGCCTTCTCTCTGCCCATGAAAGCGGAGCGCAGTCGGAACAAGGAGCGGCTGGAGGCCAGCCTTGCCGGCTTATGTGAGCTGGAGCTGCTCAAACAGAGGCAGGAATGCCGGGTGCTGAGCGCTCTTTGCCTCGGGGACTCTCCGGTTCCCGGGCGCCCGCCTTGGGGAGCTCTTCGGTCGGCGCGTTGCGCCCTGGACGCGCCGAAAAGCAACGCCTCGGATGACTACAGCCGCAGGCTCCAGACTGTAAGTTCGTCTCATTGTGGTTTTTTGGTATAATCTTTGTCTGGCTTGTTTTCTGCTGTAAAGGACAGTTTGTGGAGCTGTAGCGTGCGCCATGGGCTCTGTTTCTAAAACTTTGCATATGAAGGGCCCCATGTCTATTATCAGAACCCTTACTTAATCAGGTTTGGTCTTATCAGGTTTTTGTTGTCAGATATGACTTGGCCCACACTTCTGCTGCAGGCAGAGAGGTGGAGTGGAGGATTTCCATATTTCCTTTCTGACTTTAAGGTATTGTACACACTTTGAACCATTTTTGAGTCTCTGAGCCCTAGAGGTCCCCGGACACTTCCTGCAGTAACTACTGGATTAGATTACCAACCACTGAATGTATGTGGAAATTAAAAGAGAAGAACATCCCCTAAAGCCTGTCACTGACCTCAGTGTGCAGTTATGAAAATGCAAAGTCAGGAGGGCCCCTAAAGGCACACGCTACCATTTAAGGGCAAAGGGAGCCTTACTTTATCCACATGCTGAACACAATGGATTATCCAGACATATCTGTCCCCTGAACTTGGATGAATTATCACTTGAATGGAACAAAATAATTACATAATAGTGGAAGTCATTGTTTTTCATGAGGAACGTTGCACTCTTTTAGATTTGGTCTAGATTGCACCCAGCCATTTCAGACTGTTAGATTCCAAAATCTCCATCATCTTTGAGTGAACTGATTTTTCTATGTCTGAAAGAAAAGCAATCAAAAAACAACCTATTTTATGGCAGCTACTCCCTATATGGCCTGTTTTAAATCTGTCCTATCTTTAAATATGTCCTCAGCAGATGATGCTTCAGAATATACAAGAAAGGCCTCATAAACAATTTGTATGCTCAGGCAGGTGGCAAATATGTTGCATTTAATGACACATTTTTAACAAAATTGGAAGATAATATCAGACTGTAGCACTGAATGACATATGCAACCTAAAAGCATGGATGAACTTCAACATATAAAATGTAATTTCTACTGCTAGGGGGCCTCTCACCTCAAAACAATAACAAAAGATAAAGTTTGGTCACGTGAATCAGTGTGGAATCATGGCAGTTGTTATCTTCACCACCATTGCCGTCATTTCAGTCTCCCGATTAGGATTCCTTCAGTGTACATGGTTCAGGAGGTCAGGGGGTTTCTACCGGACCCCAATTATCCACAGAGGTCTCCTCTCCGAAACAAACAGACCCGCTGATTAAAACCGCTAAAGCAGTTCCACCTTAAAAATCACTGTTTCTCCCACGCTGTTGGGCAGACAAAGGATGTCACGGTGGGGCTGCGAGTCAAGCTGCTGCTAACGTTAGCTCAGCTTGTTTCTCTGATAACTTAAGATCCAGATGTCCGATGACTAAAATCCTTCATCTGCTTGAAATCCAGAGTTAAAAAGCAGCAAGATCTAAATAGTGGATGGTAAAAATGTGGCTTCAGACTGGATAAAAAGTCTATGTATGGCCCCTTATAATCTGATTTTCAATGAACACAGAGAAACTTTACACTTTCAGCAGATGAATGTGAAAACATCCTTCTAACGCCAAACTCTGCACAGACAGCATTCAAACATCACACTGTAGGAACAAAAAGAAAAACTGATTTCTGACTGGAGGGGGACTTTACAGAACCAAGAATATGACATTTCCTCTTGCAATTTTGATCCTGCATGAAATCAGTTGTTTCTGGAGTGAACTAACTTGTGTGAAAGACTATCTGACATATCTTCAGTTTCCTACAAAGCCGGAGAGCCTGCAGTATATCAGCTTTGTGCAGTAGTGAGACAAATGTGTTCCTCAGAAGGGGTGCAGCAGATACAAAGTTGAACTGACCCCTTCCCAATGACTATAATAGTAAGCAATGTAGGACTGTCCATATGAAGCAAGATGACTATTGACAAATAAATATTATCAGTATCACAAGTGCACCATAATGCTTTTTACTGAGATTTCGTAATGACTCAGTCTCTCATTGGTAGTAGAAGTCTATAGAAACAAAAAACACAGAGGTTTACCGTAGAGAAAAACATGTACTCTGACCGATCTTATGACTTTTCAAATGTATCAAGAATTTGGAAAATTCTACATGTGATAACAGCCCTGCCCAATGTAGTATAACAGTGTATAAAGTACTACAGTATGAAAGTAAGCTAGAGAAGGCATTGTAACACTAAGATTCAAGTGATATCGTTCATAGAAACTGCTGCTTGTGAGTATTTTCCCACCCTTTAATAGACTGTTCTTTAATCCGTAAACCGTGACACAAGGTGTCTAATTCATTGGCGTTAAGTCCGTCTGCACGGTCACAGGGTTGTTAGTGTAGACTGATAGATGCTTGGGATGACGGGAATTCCTTCAGTGATGACATGTGAATGCCTCCAGTGGAAATGTTGAGACACATTTCAATTGCAGCACATTTCACAGAAAAATTACAAACAAATCTAAAAAGCAGAAGTACAAAACAACTGACCTCCAATCATCATTAACTGAGTTTTTTTTTTTTAGAGAGGATTAAAGCACATTAATTACACTTAATTACTTCAAATGTACCTGTATCTGTTTCACAGTATATTTCTGTATTTAGTTTTTTGCAAGACAGAGCCTTTATATAAGTTTATGGTGGCTGTCATCGTGTATATACTGAAGGCTTTTATCACTAAACCATTTTTATTGTGCAAACTGCCAAGTAGTAAAAACAGAACTTAAAAATTAAAAAGATTTGCCAACAACTTTAACACTGCTTCCTTTTCAAAACAGAATATTTTAAAATAGTTGTATGAACTCTATAAACTCGCATGAAATACTCAGAGATTTCTAAAATGTTCTATTGCACAAAAAACAAATGAGTTACAGCAGCTGTTTGAGCTATGCAACAGTATGGCAGTATATGAAAAAATGTATAGTGTACAGGAAATTAAAACCGGTATACCGGTTCATCTGGTATATTGTCCAGCACTATGTCATCGCCAGTGATTTCATCCTGCATCCTATTCTTTTTTCTATTAGGAAGAGGCACTTCAAGGATTTCAAGGGAGAATGAATTCCCCTTGAATACAGCTGGACAAGCATCAGACAAGAAACAATAAAGACAGTCAGACAACCACAAGAATTCCTTGAAACAATTCAAAAAGTCACAAAGTTAATATTTTTAAATAATAACCTTGATCATTGTTTGTAGTTTATTCAGTTTAAAAGGTGCAAAATATCTGAATTAAATTCTGCCAACCTTAAATCATTTAGTCATCAATAAATAAGTTGAGGAGCTTTATATACTGTAGATAAATTGATGTATAGGAAATTACACTTCAATTAACTGTTGTAGCTTAAATCAAGCAAGTGGTGCTCATTAAAGTGCATTACAGTTTGAAGGATTAGGCATTTACAGGGTAATAGCTGATTTCAACAGCCATTCCAAGTGTGTAGAAGAAGTTGCGGTGGCCACAAGACTGGGAAAATGTGAAAGAGCCTTTCTAGATCCAGTGTTTGTTTTGTTTTGTCTATTCTAGGCTACAGTAGAAACATGGAGGTTGAAAATGGTGGCCTCTGTAGAAGAGGGCCCACTCACTCTCTAGATAAAATTAGATCATTCTAAGGTAAGAAAAACACAGTGATTCTTATTATACACTAATGAAACCATAGTTATATGTTATATTATATTCAATTCCTGCCAATAGATCCTCCTAAATGTTACACACTGGACCTTTAACTTTTTTTTAAATGTGTGATGGTTGGAACTGTTTGCTCCACAGTGAACATTTTCAGACAGTGAACAGTTGTTTCCAGACTAGTTTATATACAGAACCAGGCAAATGTGCCCTTTTATCATGCAAAACTAATAGAGAGGTTCCATAATGGTGGCTGCCAACTGTGATGCTGAGAACTACAAATGTTATTTGTAAACCTATAAACATATTGCTTTAAAGAAGCAGATTGAGGTATATGGAACTAGTCAGCGATTAGCTTAGCATAAAGACTAGAAGCAGGGGGAAACAGCTAGCCTGGCTCCGGCCACCAACACCTCTAACTCGTATATTGTTTCTTTAATCCACACACAGACACAAATGTAAAAACGTGAAAAAGTTGTGATTCTAGAGGGAGTAATGTGATGGAACTATTTTGTAGAGACCATTGGCCAGCACAATGACTTCTTGGAATTTTATTGTCGTTGCCAGGCAACCAGCGCAGACTCCAGGAAATCACTGCACCCTGATAAAATCATTTTGACTTTTTAAAAACTTGAAGCTGCCAGATCTACTTCTGGTCATAAAAGTTGTAAGTAGCTGCAGTCAGACAGTCTGGAACAGGATCTGACTGGTCATCAGGGTGTTACGCTCCCTCTGAGACGCCAGTTGTTTCCGAGGCACTCCAAGGCCAGCTTCAGATTTTCAAATGCAACTGCAGATCCTTAATGATTTCATCTCTATGGGCAGATCCTGCTTTAGACGTGTTAAACAATGTGTTTTCCATGATGCTCTGTGTTTTTCAGCTCTTGCTGTTCCTCTTCACTATCTTGTTCCTCTGCGACTGTCCTCAGTGGACCTGACTGACTGTTATGAATCTATTAGCCCCTCTTGTTCATCTTTTGTTTCTGAGGAAGCTGGCTAAATTACAAATATCAAGAAGCAGAGTTAATCAGTGTTGTTCTGATGGTATGTGACTTCCATGAAGTCTCCATCATCTTAGGATTATTCCCAAAGGTAAACAACCAGATTCTTTTGGAGCACATTTTTGGCACGTATGTGGGCACACACTTAGTGTGTATAGGATCTGGGCTGATACACCATTGGATCATTTTTTTCCCCTTGTTGATATGATATGATAAATAGTGATTTCTTTTCACTTTACTCTGTGCCCCATATCCCAGAGAACGGACCAACTCGGTACACATGTGTTATTAACCCCATGTTCATTTTGAGCCGGAATTGTCCTTTAATACTTGTAACCTATATGTTAAGTTAGATATTCTGTATTCACTACCTGTTCCT